ATACGGCTGACATTCTGACACTTATTCCAGATTCCTTCTAGATACAATTCAGATGCATCCAGATACGAATGACATTTTGACACTTATTCCATATTTCCTTCTAGAAACAGTTCAGATGCAATCCAGATATGGCTGACATTCTGATACTTACTCCAGATTCTCTTCTAGAAATAGTCCAGATATAATCCAGATACGGATATCATTCTGATACTTCCTTCATCATACCTTTCCAATATAGTCCAGATACGATCCAGATATGGATGTCATTCTGACGCTCATTCAGTACATCTCTCAGATACGAGTCAGATACAATTCATTTATGAATATTATTCTGATGCTCATCCAAGACCTTTGCTGGTTTAGTTTAAATCTCTCAACGGTTTATCCTAATTCTTTTCGGTAGACATTTTCTCTTTTTTCTTGTTCAGTCAGATCGACACTAAGATCTCTCTGATTTCTACTCCAGTTGAAGATATTCCAAGACTTTTGTTTGGTTCAGTTGAATCGATCCTAAGATTCTTCTGATTTCCATTCCAATAAAAGTTAATCCAAGACATTCTCTGGTTCAGTCAGATCGACACTAAGATCTCTCTGATTTCTATTCCAGTTGAAGATATTCCAAGACTTTTTTCTGGTTCGGTTGAATCGATCTTAAGATTCTTCTGATTTCCATTCCAGTCAAAGTTAATTCAAGATTTTTCTATAGTTCAATCAGATCAACACTAAGATCTCTCTGATCTCTATTCCAGTTAAAGAAAATTCAAGACCTCTACTGGTTCAGTTTAAATCTCTCAACAGTTTATCCTGATTCTTTCCCGTAGACATTTTCTCTAGTTCAGATAGATCGCTCCAAGATTTATTCTAATTCTTTTCAGACCTCTATTGGTTCGGTTTAAATCTCTCAACGGTTTATCCTGATTCTTTCCCGCATACATCTTTTCTGGTTCAAATAAGTTGCTTCAAGATTTATTCTGATTCTCCTCCAGACCCCTTTTGGTTCAGTTTAAACCTCTCAATAGTTTATCTTGATTCTTTCCTAGTAGACACTTTCTCTGGTTCAGATAAATCGCTCAAAGATCTATTCTGATTCTCTCCAGTTAAAGAATACCCAAGACCTCTTTTGGTTCAGTTTAAACCTCTCAACGATTTATCCCGATACTTTCCAAATAGAAATTTTCTCTGGTTCAGATTTAATTGCTCCAAGATTTATTCTGATTCTTTCCAGTCAAACAATATTCAAGACTTCTGCTAGTTTCAATTTAAATCGACCAAAGGTTTATTCTGATTCTTTTTCCAGTTGAAGTCAAGTTCAGACTTAGTCTAATTTCTGTCAACAATCACATTTGAATGGCATCTATAAGCCCATCTCCGACAACTATCCATCAATTCTCCAAATGGCATCTTTAAGCCCATTCCCCATACAATCAACCAACACACCATTGAGTGAAAATTTCTGGGCACTCTAGTGTTCAATCGTCTTCCATCTTCAAGCTACGAACGACAAACATGCCGATCTCACTTTTCAAGTTTAAGAAGATTGAACAGGGGCAACTGTTGTACCCTAAAATTTGCCCTCTCATTTCTAAAAGGATCCTCCTAGACTCTCAGGCTTGCTTCTATCAAGTTTCAAGTCTTGGACTACAATTTCCTAAGAAAGACATTCACAAGGACAAAATGTGCAAAATTAGGGTTGTGACTGGGAATGATCGAACTTTGACTTTTGACCTAATACTTGGCTTATTGGTTAAAAGAATGATCTCAAGGATCCGAGCGCGTCATTTTGACCTAATTGCACATTTCAATTCATCTCCCGAGATCAGTGGATTGATAGACAAAATTCAGTCAACTGGTGGGAAAAGTCAATTGTACACTAAAAAAGTCAAACTTTGATTTTTTGACCAAAGTTGAATCCCAAAAATCATATTTCATCAAGACATCCAAAATATGAAATTTGATCGTCAAAAATCAAGAAAGTCAAAAATCCAACTTTTGCAAGACTTGAAATTTTTTCTAAGTTAAGTTCATTGCTTCATGACATCTTGTCACTACAATTCAAAATAGTTCAAGATGTTATAAATAATTCAAGTTATTAAAAAGTGACATTTTTGTAAGTTTACAAACCCTAAACTTTGTATTGCTTGGACTTTTCCATTTGACTTAAAACCTTGCCACAATGCTTTGTCTTTAATACAATGTGCATAAATTGCTCCACAAACTAAACTTGTTTCATGCTGCAAACTATGTTGTCCAAATAATGGCTGAACAAAAAATGATATGCTACTTCTATGCATTGCCACAACACCAAAAAAAACCTGTTCATTTGTTGTCCTACAAAACCTTGTGCTATGCTGCACCACAAACCTGTCACAAAACCTATATATGCTTCCCAATATAGTCCAAAAAACCAGTCCAAAATTGATCTATGCAGTCTGCTCCAACCTGCATCATAACAGCCACAAAATTGCACCAAAATGGCAAAAGAAAATTTTGTGGAAAAAGCATCAAAGCAGTAGGAAAAACATTTCAAAACAACTTATTTTTTTCCCTCCTAAACCTCAGTCAAGAGGCTACAAAAGGGGCTGATTCATAAGACATGGGGGGACTTTTTCTGAAAAAAGAGGAGAAGAGAAAAAAAAGAACTTTTGTTAAACCCAGTTCATCCATAAAAACTTTATTCATCTTCAACTCGGTTTTAGACTGACAAAAACAAAAAATATCCTTAACCCACTATTATACAACCTTGCAAACTCTCCCATAAACCCTCTAAACACTTCACATCATATAGACATTGTTCAAGCACAAGAACAGTTTCTGTAGTGCCCTTATTCTCAACTTCTAAACACTAGACAATACTATATAACCTTGACTGTTTGGAGTTGGTTCAGTAACCTTCAACATAAAGGGAAGTCTAGCAGCTTCCTGGAGTTTCATTAAATTCCACACAACATCTTGTTGCACCCCAAAATTTGCCCTCCTAATTTCCTTTATTTTGGCTTAGACTTTTGCATTCATTTGCATCTTTTTCATTAGGTCACTAACATGGCATACATTTCATTTAATATAGCTCTGAGGTTCAAAGTTCAGTGGTTGTGCGATACTAGGGTTTCATAGTGGTTGAGGCGCTCATATCCAATAAAGGACTTCTTCTCCCTCAAGCAGCAAGGCTATTATCTTCTGATGAACAACCGATTGTAGGTCATTCTGGTCAAGAACTCTAGGACGTGACCTAGCATATGTGGGCTTCGAATCATGACGTCCTTTCCTATAAGTATGCTTGTCATTTGATTAGGATTAATGACTGTGACATGACAATCGTCTACTCCTCAGTTAATCAAATTAGGTTTTGTTGAATCATGGTTCAAAGATGTTTTATCCGGATATTTCTCTGTGCGTCTGAACGAGGAATCAAGATTGTGAGGGTTTCACATCAAGGGAATTCTTCTGTGATTCAGACTTTATCATCCATCTGTAAGATGTTCCTAATGACACTAATCTCAAGTTGAAATAACCGATCGCTAAGGGCTGAGGATTGAATTGTGAAGCATGGTTCATGACCTAAGATATGAATTCATAGATTTCTCCTTAACCAAGGCAATCATTATCCTCATCATTGTCATTTGTTATCTGCGATGCAAGTAGGTTTGGATTGAAGTAGGTTTATCATAGAAGAATTCATGCAAGTTAATTCAAGGTTCAAGACATTCAAGGCAGGGTTTGTTCAACATGGCATACCTGGTTGATGGGCTTACAAGCTCTTATGAGACCTTGAAATGCATAATCATGGGCCAATTTCAAAGATATGTGGATAAGGTCTGTTGACTTCGGTTAAAGTAAGCTTTGAACAATTAACTTTGGGGCCAAGGTCTCCCTTGAATTTTCATCTAATATGTGTTGGGAATTCGAGTTGCATTTGAAGAATAGTATGGTAAAGGAAAAGAAATATTGGTTCAGAAAAGAAAAAATTCATTAAAAATCAGGGTTTTTATTCATTGATAAAAGTTCAAGTAATTGAAGATCAGGTGAAATAAGGTTTCATATTAATCTTGATCATATTCTTTCATTATCATTTACATCCATCTTTGATGATTTAAGGTCGTCAATTAGGAAAGGACTTTGTCAAGATAAGAGACTTGTGGATTGAATCGTGGAATATGAGGCATGATACAAAAGGCAAGGTTGTGATTTATTTTTAGGATTAAGATCCCATTGGCTATTCAAATTATTTGTCATTCAAGAGTGAAGTTAGGAGTTCATTAAGAATGCAAATGTGATTTGGATTTGAAGTTTGATTTGAGTTCAAGATGTTAGAAAGTGTTTGGTTGAATTAAAGTCGGCAAAGAGTCTTAAGTATTGGCCATATGGCTTTCTTGGAAGGTAAAGTACAGACTGCAAGGTTTTGTTTCAAGTCAGAGTTCATACGCATTACAAAGATGTTCATCGTTATTCCAGATTCAAGTTCACAATGCGTTCAAACATTTATTCAAGAAAATACTATCCAATTCCATTCAATTTCATTCTCATTCATGATTCAAGAAAATACTATCCAATTCCATTCAATTTCATTCAAGTGTAACAATACCTTACAAGAAAATTTGATGCTTTCATATCTTCAAGCATTTTTTCAAGACTTTGTCATTTAAACTCCGTCCAAAAAAATTCATCACCCAACATTTCAAGCTCAAAGGTCATTTACAATTCACACTATAAATTTCAAGTTCATCCAAACCAAACATTCATTACATTACACCAATATTCTACAAAGAAAAGAAAACTGTTACAAAATACACTTGAACAAAATTCTTTAGTCCTAAAGGTGCTAAAATTCCATGAGTAAACTTCTAATTCCATGCCAAAGTTCTTCATCTTCAGTTCATGACCTGCACATTCATACAAAAAATATCCAAGTCAATACAAGCAATCATGCCATCATATCAGCTTCTTCCCTGTCTCTAGTAACCAGCATCAACAACTTCGACCGAATTGGTATCGGAACGAAGAGAATGGCGGAGTACAATCTGACACCGCGGATGGCTCCAAATCTCGACAGACATTTGGTATTCCCTCTCTTAGAGTTTCTCCAAGAGAGACAGTTATACGACGATAACCATATCCTTAAGTCTAAGATCGATCTCTTGAACAACACAAACATGGTTGATTACGCCATGGACATTCACAAGACGCTCTACCATACTGAAGATGTCCCTCAGGATATGGTCGAACATAGGGCTGATGTTGTTGCTCGTCTCAAGTCTCTTGAAGATTCCACCGCTCCTCTGGTTGCTTTCCTTCAGAATCCTGCTGCTGTTCAGGAGTTGAGGGCTGATAAACACTACAATCTCCAGATGCTCAATGACAAATACCAGATTGGTGCTGCACAAATAGAGGCATTATACCAATATGCCAAGTTTCAGTTTAAATGTGGAAACTACTCTGGTGCTGCTGACTATCTTTATCAGTACAGAGCATTATGCACAAATAGTGAAAGGAGTTTGAATGCATTGTGGGGAAAGCTGGCAGCTGAAGTATTGATGCAAAATTGGGATATTGCTCTTGAAGAGCTCAACCGCCTGAAGGAAATAATTGACTCAAAGAATTTTTCATCACCTATTAATCAGGTGCAAAGCAGAATATGGTTGATGAATTGGAGTCTGTTCATCTTTTTCAACCATGACAATGGAAGAACACAAATCATTGATTTGTTTAACCAGGACAAGTATCTTAACGCAATCCAAACTAGTGCTCCACACCTTTTGCGATACTTGGCCACAACATTTATTGTCAACAAAACTTCTGAAGGAAACCTGCCTGATAATGATGCAACAGTCTCTGTTAAACCAGATAATCGTGACTCTGCTCCGCAAGAATCTCCTACTCTAGTGGCTAGTGCATTAGAGAAAACAATCGATTTTGCAGCTTCAAATGAAACCGATAACATTGCTGGTAATTTAAATAACACTGCGACCTCTGGTACCACCGAAAGTGACAAGTCCAAAGGTATCACCGAAACTAGTGAAGCAAAAGAAACTAATAACATCTACGCCACTGTGGATGAGAGGTTCAAGGGCAATACTCAAACAGGCGAAACTGATGAAAAATCAGACTCTTCCTCAATCACCTTACGCTACGGATCCAGCATGGTAACACCAACTAACATTTTCGTTCAACTACTAACTTCTTCACATAGCATATTACCTCTTAATAACAAAATTGCCTTCAACAAACTTAGCTAAATCCACAACCTCCCCTCTAAAGATTTTCCAGCTCATCTCTTAACTACCGTAACACAACTTCCTCTAACAGCCTAATTTTTCATGACTAACCTTTCCCTAACTTCTAACTATAACCAACTTCCCACTTCCCAAATCCTAACTAACTTAACAAACCATAACAAACTTCCAACATAGATAAATAGAGTACACAACATATGCATAGAGAGGGACAGAATAGATAGGATATTCAACACAGAAAAAAAGATTACCTCTCAATCATCTTATTCTTCAAGTTCACGGGAGAATCACCAAAAATTTAACCCTCTTCTCTCTGCTTCCTTCCCCATCACCACCAAAACAAATATTTGAGAATTCTCTCACTTCTCTCTTTCGATCTTCATTAGCATCCTTCATCATCTTCATCTTCAACTTTCTTTCTTCAATCATCTTTTTTCACCAACAATTGCAGCCACTTCACATCCTCATTCACCTTCAACAAAACTCCATCACCTTCAAGCACGAACAACTTCAAACCATCTCCAAACCCTTCATCACTGCGTAACCTCTGTCATAAATTTTCAAGCCATGTATTCATCACGACAACACACAGTTTTTGCCATTTTCACCATATGATCTTCATCGACATCAACATTCTTCATAAATGAATTGTATCCTCCAACCTCACTTTAATTTGCTTCAACAATGCATCTTCGCCAACCTTCAAAATGTTCAATTCGGAGTTTATTCCTCGGCTTACACCGCTTAAGGAAACAGAAAGAAGAACTGGAAGAAGAAGAAGAACAAAGAGTAATAACAAGAATCAGATAGGAAGCATACTGGAATTCGGAAGCCCCCGCTGGTTTTATCTCATCATCGCCGCCATTAAAGCCGCATCGGACGGACTCCGATCGGTAAACCCTCTGAACTTTCCAATCAATACTTCGTCTATAGCATATATTTCTTCTTCTACCTATTGATACCACCATTAGAACTGGGGAATCCTTCACCTCGTCCACTGGCCTAACATTGAAGCGAAGAAAGATTTGAGGAATTAAGGTTGGGACACCTTTGTCTACGGCGGGGAAACATCAGAATCGATCGGCGGATAAGAAGAGAGAATAAGACGGCAATTCAGGCGAAGGCCGGCAGCGCCACTGCTGTTCGCAAGTGGAGAAGAAGAGAACACCTCCCTCTTTTACCCTAACCCCTTTCTCAACTTTCCTATATTTTTTATTTTAGTTTTAATTGTTTTTTTTGTTTTATTTTTTCTTTCTGAACCAGTATTTCTATTACATGTTTATTCTTTTATTATTAATTCAACAAATAAATACAATAATATGATTAATAATAAAATTAAGAATGATTAGTATGGGACAAACTAGTCAATTCTTGGACCATGATTATTTTTATTTTCTTGCTGATTGTGTCCATTTTTGATGGGGCCTAATGTCATTGTATTTTTTGCAGCACATAGCGAATTTAGTTCGCACCTCCTGAGATCTTATTTCCCATACTCATTTCGTTTGCGATTAATTTTGTCGATTTATTTTCTTTGGCAATATTGGTAAATAAAAGAGACTTGAGTGAGGAGTTTCATGAAGTTTCAAAGCTAGCTAAGAGCATAATTTTCAATCACTGGCTCAAGGAAGCTTTGATAGAATTCTCTTATGGATTGCATGGTTGAAGAGGCGACAAACCTTCTCCGTTCGGTATCGTCACAACTCTATTTTTACTCCTGCACTTTACTACTTTCTAGGTAGAATTCCCTCGAGATTCTAACTTTAGGTCTAATACACGATAACATTAGATTTAGAAATAGGCTAGTCTTCCTGTGACTTTCGTCTTCCTGTGACTTCGTCTTCCTGTGACCTTCGTCTTCCTGTGACCTTCGTCTTCCTGTGACTTTCGTCTTCCTGTGACTTTCGTCTTCCTGTGACTTTCGTCTTCCTGTGACCTTCGTCTTCCTGTGACTTTCGTCTTCCTGTGACTTTCGTCTTCCTGTGACTTTCGTCTCCCTGTGACCTTCGCCTTCCTGTGACTTTCGTCTTCATGTGACATTCGTCTTCCTGTGACTTTCGTCTTCCTGTGACTTTCGTCTTCCTGTGACTTTCGTCTTCCTGTGACTTTCGTCTTCCTGTGACTTTCGTCTTCCTGTTACTTTCGTCTTCCTGTGACTTTCGTCTTCCTGTGACCTTCGTCTTCCTGTGACTTTCGTCTTCCTGTGACTTTCGTCTTCCTGTGACTTTCGTCTTCCTGTGACTTTCGTCTTCCTGTGACTTTCGTCTTCCTGTGACCTTCGTCTTCCTGTGACTTTCGTCTTCCTGTGACTTTCGTCTTCCTGTGACTTCCGTCTTCCTGTGACTTTCGTCTTCCTGTGACCTTCGTCTTCCTGTGACTTTCGTCTTCCTGTGACTTTCGTCTTCCTGTGACTTTCGTCTTCCTGTGACTTTCGTCTTCCTGTGACTTTCGTCTTCCTGTGACTTTCGTCTTCCTGTGACTTTCGTCTTCCTGTGACTTTCGTCTCCCTGCGACTTTCTTTCCTCCTTTGCATATGCAGTTAAAACAAAAAACTTTTTTTTACAAACTTCAAAAATACATAAAAATTTACTGACAAAAACCATGTCTTGTCTAAGTTTGAGAGATGATGAGCGGGTTTCTTCTCGACATTATTATTCTCTTGTTCTAAGCTTTGGTATGATTCAAGTCTCAAAGACTCATTTCATTAATAAGTAGAGAAATGGCTAAAATCTCTCTCTTGAGGTTAACTAGCTATTATCTACAAGCAAAAAACACCAACAAACATAAAAATCTTTTTGCCCTCGGGCCTTTCTTTCAAACCCTTTTCAAAAGAGCGTATTAATTCATTTCTATGTTGACGCGTAAATCTCCAAAGGTCGAGTTGCGGCAGAAGGCGAGATTAATATTGTTCGTTAAAGAAAATACAAACAAACAAAAACATATAAGCCGAACTACGGTAGCTCTGATTCCTTAAAAAGGATACGTAGGCATTGGGGTAGGGCCCAGGCGAGCACAATTTTATTTTCTCTACATTCTTTTTCTCCTTTTCTTTTGCATGCACTTTCCCTTTAGCAATAATAGACAGTAAGCATAGATTAAACACACCCATAAGATAGATAACAAGAGTGGATACCGTAGAGTACTACGGGCGTGTGGGGTGCTAATACCTTCCCCTCGCGTAACAGACTCCCTTACCCTTATCTCTTGGTCGTTCGACCGTGACTTCTCCCTCATCAGGTTTTCTCGATGTTTACCTTTCCCTTCATGTGAGATAAAAGATGTTCGATGGCGACTTCATTGTTTTGATGATTTTCAGCCGGTTGTTTCAGCTGGCGACTTCACTGGGGAATAGGTCGACCAAATGCTGGTCCATCCCGGAGTCGCTCCTAGCTCTTGCTTTCTTTTCTTTGGGTGTCTATTTTTATGCTTTCAGTTTACTCATTTGTACATGTTTTCCTGAGCATAAGTTTGCATTGCATTTTATTGCTTTCCCTATTTGTTATCTATTACGCTGGACTCTGTTTTCCATGTTGGGTGGGGATGTTACTATTGAGGTAAAAGGCCCAGTACCCAGGCCAGAGTGCACTAGGACACCTAGGAATAGAATGGGGGCATGACGGCTATAGGACATGGTCCGATTAGTGCAGTCATGTCATATACCACGCTCAGATGAGGTTCAATTGAAAGTACTTTCATCATGCAGGTCTGTGTTGCGATGATTTTACTTTCAGGCGGACCCGTGATTTTCGAGTTACCATTATCTCACCCTAACCTAGTCTTCACACGTGAGTGGGGAGGGATTTATCATTACAGGTACAGTTGGTGACTATGTTCAAATGGTTACTCGTGCTCAATTGGTGACTATGTTCTGATAGTGACTGTTGTTCTGTTGGTGACTATATGGGTCTCAGATTTATTTATTTTTTGAGTTTCTGGATTCGGTATTCAGGATGCTTATCTAGTTATATTCCGGACTCTTGATCCTGATATATTCCACTTGGTCAGAGATTATACAACGGTTAAATCATAGTACTTGGTTCCATTGTATGCTGAATTTGGTTCTGAACCTTTGATCCTGTGATATCCATATTATTCAGCAGATTTATACAACAGTTATCCAGAGGATTGTACAATTGTTATGCTGAACTTTTGAACTTATGTCATTGCACCTTGCATCATAACATGTTTATTTTACAAAAAAAAGGAAAGGTGAAAGATTATAAAAAAAAATGTTTGAACATGGCATTGCATCCGCTCATTCACCTCATGCATCCATAGCAGGTACTCCGAAGGTATTCAGAAATGGGGAATCCTTATTCAGACTCGGTATTTTCTTTTCAGAGCTGCAAATCTTGACTTCTCGTCGCTTCGTGGTCAGATTCAAAATATGGAACAACTTCGTGAGGGAATTGGACGAGATGAAAGAACAGATGGAATTCGTGGTGCTAGACATGCAGGATTTGGTCCATGGACAAGAACTCCTGAAAGAAGAGAACACTCAGTTGAAGATTCAATTGAATTTGGTTATGGAAATTTTGGGGACAATGTTGAAGAAAGAAGATGTTTCTATGCCTGCCACAATAGGAGTTACCATTCCTCCCCATAACCTGAGGACTCTTGTAGGTCAGGGAGTATCTCCTCCGCAACCGTGCATTCCAGGATTCTCCCATTCGCAACAAGTTATCACTTCCCGAGAGGACCCAAAAGGCAAAGTCCGTCAGGAGAGGCCAAAACAGCCTGAAAGAAAATTTGATCCTATTCCAATGTTATATGCACAATTGCTTCCTCCCCTGCTAGAATCACATTTGGTTAAACTCCGAATTTTCACTACACATGAAAAACGCCCTCATGGCTTTGACGACAATGCTAGGTGCGATTTTCATTCTAGGACACCTGGTCATGATACTGAAGATTGTGTAGCTTTTAAGCACCAAGTCCAGGACTTGCTTGATGCAGGGACAATTCTCTTCACTCCCGAAGGTCTGAGTGTGCAAATCAATCTT